CACCCCAAATGGGCCAGAACATGTTGGCCAAACAAATTAACAAAATAGGAAGGTGGGGCAATGTCTTCACCTCCCTCATCGGTCGAGCCCTGGTTCTTAACACATCGGTCTTCTCAATGATGTGGTACATAGCCTCCATCTGGACAGTTCCGGATAGCTCTATTAAAGAACTGAATCGAAGAGCCAGGTTCTATCTATGGTCAGGAGACCCCAATAAAGGGAATGGCATACCTAAGGTCGCATGGCACTATGTCACGAAAAGTCCACAAAAGGGGGGCCTAGGGATTATAGACCCTGGAACAGAAACAAAAGCCCTACAAATTAAGTGGATTATCAAAGTTCTGATGAACCCAGATAGCGCATGGAACAAGTTAGTCTTGGACAGTATATAAGATCCCTGGCTCTAGTACCCTCGCCAGATGATGTCAGGATTGTTCTGGGTAATGAATAAGGAATGGGTCATGACCACAGGACGAAGGAATGGAAAGAGGGACGCCAGACTAGAGGGCTACAGGCCTCCTACTCCATAATGGTCAGCGCTGCTTCGAATCTTGAGAAAAATAATGCCTAACAAGTCTAATAGACCTAGGTCTAAGGATGAAGTACTAAGGCAGCCGCTCTTTGGGAATCAATGGGTGACAAATGAGGGTGGCAATCCCCTCTTCCTAGAACACAGATGGCTCTCCTGGATCAAAAACAGAATATGGAAAATCGCCCACTTATGGAATGAGGAGAGAAAGGAGTGGAAGACTGAACAGGAAGTCAGTTCCCAACTGAAAGGATGTCACAGACGAGGACCTAATCTCCAGTACATCATCAGCCTTATCCCACAAGAATGGAAAGACATCTTGATTGAAGCCGTACCATGGAAGCCTGGAGAGTGGGGACTTAAGGTACAAGAAACGATTCCCTCTAGAGCCTTCCAGTTTTCCCACATGCAACAAGGCTTGCCTACCAAGGCCACCTTCCTCTCCTTTCCGATCTCCACAACCAGTACCAGTATGCTGGCCATCCTCAATAGCGAAGTGGAATCGGAAGTCATGGACTTCTTCTTACTTAGAAAGGTAAGAGTCCTTGGCTCGTGGCCAAAGTTAATCTTCAGACCTGACACAGCGATTCATAGTTTAGAGTTTGACCCAGCAGAATGGGCTTGGATGCCGGACAAGACTAAGAATATTAAATCCAAAATTCCAAGTCACGAATACACAGTTAAACTGGGGTACAGACTGTCACTGAAAACCAAAGACCATGATCCCACCATTAAAAAAAGTTGCCAAAATCTATTGGGCCAAGAGGCAGACAAGCTCATACAGGTCCAGTGGAAGAAGTTCAAGTCTATCAGGCCAATTAAAATCAGAAGCCTTCAATGGTTAATCACTTACGCGGCACTGCTAGTGAACCAATGGCTACACACTGGGCGAAGGGGTTCAGATCCCAACAGTTCTGATCTGTGCACGGTCTACACGGAAGGTGTGGTAGAGGACATAATACACTGCTTAGTGCACTGTAGGGAGGCGACAGATTACTGGGCAAGAGCCTCGGCACTCTGGGATTCCCTATTCCCGACCCCTTTCCTTGAACAACCCATCAAACTTCTGCTCTTGACTAACATCCCTGAACAGCTCCAGAAGGCAGAAAAGATTTGGTTTGGACTCATCAGGAAGGTGACGCTATGGGTCATATGGAAGGAAAGATGCAGTAGAGCGATTGAAGGACTGTCCAACCACGTGAGAAGGTTTGGGCGGAGACGAAAACGATGATACAAGCTGAAATCCTCCGCAGATGGCGGAAGACCAAACAATCATGGACGGAGGATGAGGAACAACAAAAGAAGGCGAGACTGGGATTCAGCAGGATCTGGTTGATAAGCGGTAAAATAGCGGAGTTACGAGAAGATCACATTTGCTGGAAAGACTGGCATAACTCAAATTCAGGAAGGGGCTACCAACAACAGATAACTGCAGACGGGCAAAACACCTCCTGATCAGACCTCCACGAGGGATGGACAACACCAAATGACCACAGCAACGGAGAGACATTTCAAAGATGGACGGACGAGACCAAATGGCCGTAGCAATGGAGAAACAATTGATTCAAGAGAAATGCTTGAGAAAGGTTACAACGGAAAGAAGGTCGCATATCACTCAAGGGGAACATTCAGGGGCCCAGAAATGTAGCCGCACAACCCAACCTAGGAGGGGATTCGAAAAGTCACAAAGGTGTTGGTAATGGTTACCAGATGAGGGTTTAGGGTTTAGGGTTTTAGTGACGCTTTTTAAGGGAATTAAAATAAAGGGTGGGACAGAGGGTATTGTGGCTCACGGGCAGGACGGGTAAGTGGGGGTACAAAGGCTAGCTTGGACAATGGGTGAGCTCTTTCTAGGTGGCATGGATCTATTTGGCAGATCTGGTTATCAGGTCTGAGAGGAAAGAGTGAGGCATGGCAAGCTGGCAGTCAATCCTCCACCAAGGTGGAGCAATCAATGCTGCTCAAGGGTCCTTCGGCCAGACGGACGGAAGCGTGGGTGGTTCTTATTGTAATGTCTATTCTGACTTGGCGGTGGAATAGGAACCGGACTGATGCTCCCCATAATGGAAAGGAGCCAGGACCATAAGGTCCTGTTTTTGATAACA